CGCCCGCGCCGCCCCCCGCAGCAGAAACCGGAGGCGGGGAGAAGGCAGAGGGCAGGGCCGGGGAGGGTCCACCTTGTCCCCGAGCTTGGCCAATGGGGGTGCGATATGCAAATGATCGGGATAGCCTGGCGGCGGGGCGGGCGACAGGCAGCGGAGAAGCGGCGGTGATGTGGTGGGAGGTGTTGTAGCTGTCCCGTGTGCCCTCAGCTCTTTTCAGCCATGAAGTACAAGGTGAGCCGCCGGCGGTGGGCGCCGTCCTAGGGCTGGGGTAGGGGCGGGAGTTCAAAGTCTCACGGGCCCGTCAGGAGCTTCCCTGGCAGCAGGCAGGCGGCCCTCGCTGAGAGGCCGCAGCCCTGAGAGGAGGCAGGCGGCGGCCGTCTTCGGGGCTCCCCTCCGCATCCCCCAGGGCAAGCGGGTACAGCCGTTGGCCCGGGGAGGCGCCGCCAGGCTCCCTCTCGCCTGCTGCTTTGTGCTGTCTGCAGCCACAGAGCCCCAAGGGAGGTGGCCGGGGGCGGGAAACGAGTGAGCAGCGAAACGGGGGAAGCTAGCGGAGGCGCCTTGGGCGGCTCTGGGGTGTTCGCGGTAAGGGCAGAAGGGGCTTTTCTCCACCCCTACCACTCCCCCCGCCGCGGGTGCCCGCCCGGTGGCTCTCCCGCTTATGCCGACGGTGCCTAACGGTGTGAGCCCGGTATGTCAGGAAAGGCAGATTTGTACGTGATGCCCAGCATCGGTTTAGGACAGGTATGGCTACTTTCCCCCGTGATGTAATGCACCATTTTTCCAGCCCTTTGTGAATGTCTCATTATCCCAGTGCAGTTTTTCAGAACAGTCTGTTTGATGGGTCACGAGCAAGGAAAAAAAAATTAGAACCGTATACGATATATTTTTTAAAATGGGTAGTCTGTCCCCCTTTCCCTTGTTAAAATAAGTGATTTTAGCTTAACCTTTTATCAGAGGGTGGGGTTTTTTTTTTCAGAAGACAGAAATGTGGAGGCTTTCATCCTAATACTACTCTACTTAAAAACGTCTGGGCAAGGTACTGAATTGCCCACAGGGCATTAGATTACTGTACAGACATACCATAATCTTGTGTGATTGGGAAAAAAAGGAGGAGGGAAGGAAAAACTTTCCTTCCTCTGCCAAAAATAACTTCAGCATCCATAAAAAGGTGATTTGGAAATGTCACACATTATATACTTACTTGGAGACTAACTTGCTTTGGAAGTGAATTCTTACTGAATTTAGGCAGTGTAATGTAAGAGAGCCCTGATGCTATTACATTGTATAAGGCTTATAAACCTGGGCAGAACGAGATGTGCAAGTGATACCTAGGTAAACATACACAGATTTTCTTGCTTTTCCATATATGTCTGAGCTCAACCCAAGCTTTCGGGATGTCTTGTACCCGGGCTCTCGGAAAGGTCAGAATTGAGTTTTCAAAGCTGCTGCCAGTTTCTCCATCTCATGGTGGTTAAAAATAATCAGGAAAAAGAAATTTTGTAATGTATAGATAGACAAAGATAACTCCATGACTTTGAAAATTTTGATCTGGGTCTTCTGGCCTTTTTTTTTTTTTGAAATTCAATTTCAAACAACTGACTGATTTGAAATCAGACATCAAATTCATTTCCTGTGCCTTTCTACTCCCCCTCAAATCAGTTCAGGTTGAGTTTATACCTGCTTAGAAAAACTGTAACTCTTACCACAAAACATCAGGCACTTGGCAATAGAAGAGCAGCGTCACTGTTAGTCCAGAGCTCATGAACTGCTTTCTGACTCCCTATAGCTAAGCAACACTTGTATCCCAGTGGCAAAATAATGGTCCTGCATAGTTATACAGCTTACTGACTTCTCGTGTCACCATCTATCCTTCATCTGCTGCAAGCAGATCATGCTTCATACATAGCCCAGTGGCGCTGCAAGAATACGGACCGATAACATTGCTCAAAAAGGCAAGTCGTTCCTGCTCCGCAATGTTTCCTTTGCCCTGTCTAGTTGGAGTGAGCGTTTTAGTTTGGGTTTATGATTACATAATTCTAGACAGAGAAAGCTAGACGAAAAAAGAAGCCGCCATAAAAAAAAGTTTAAACAAGAAAAAGAAGACAGGGTTTTGGCCTCAAAAACCTTCTTGTCAGACTATGGTGTTTACTTTCCCTGGGAAATGTGAAGTAGTTACTTATACTGTTTACCTAGGACAAACATCCTTAGATCTAGTTCTTATCCCTGGAGAAACATATAAGGAAAATACTTGCTCATTCAAGTCTGTTATTTTCTTTCTTTCTTTTATTTATTTTATTTTCTATAGGAAAACAGAAGTCCTGTACTTTTTATTGTATACAGAAAATAAAGGAATGGAGCATGCTCTTGGCCTGCCTGGGCACATACCATCACTTTAGAGGTGGCTTAGCTTCCAGGTACAGATTTGGGTCTATTTAACTGCTCCTGGTATTATATTGGGGCCTGTTATTCTTTACTGTCATTGTGATAGTCCGTAAGATAAGGCCTCATTTCATGAAATGATTGAGATGCTTATTATAGTTTAGAGCATTAACAGTTGAACAGAATAGGAACTGACTCATGTGTGAGACCCTGAGTATGTCTCTCCATCACTCATGGCTTCACTTTCAGTGTGACTAAACCCAAGGTCATTTCTGGTCTAGAAGTCCTTTCCACTACTCAAGCTTACCCTCTTTTCACTCAAATGTTTTGAAAACTTGTTCCCTCTCTTGTGTCACCTAAGCTTCTTCTATTGTCCATCCCACTCTAAACATTCTTCCAACATAATACTCAAGTCGGAATCCTCTGAAAGCCACTGGAAAAATCCCTGTAGATTTAAGCAAGTTCAGTACTTTACCTTATATATGTTTCTACACTCCGGTCTGTCTTTTGCACACTGTGAAATTCAGTGAAGATGTGACTGTTTAAATCAGAGACAAATTTGACCTCTGTTCTACCATTCATATACTAGTTAAATAAAAGTTATTCTGACTGAGCCATAGAAAAATAAGAAATATTAAACATAAAAAATACTTATATGTTGGTTGTGAGCACATCTTAGTCCTACTTGTCTAAAAGCTACTTTCAGAAACTAATTCCTGTAGGGTGCAGTTGTATTATGGCAACATCCCAGTTCTTCATTTGATGATGACAGCATCCTTTTGCGCTAAATCTCTATGTACCACAAAACTCCATCCCATCAAGTTCTCACAGGATGCCATTCCAGTATTCTGTAATCCAGAAGGTAGGATCAACCTTTTCTGAAACCAAACCCAGACTGTGATTCTAAGAATGAAGCAATTGCAGCTAAAATGTAGGAAGAGAAATACCAGTGGGTTACCATGATCAGAGAAGAACATGGATGGGAGACGATATATCTGGCCAGCAATTCTAATGACCTTATCTCAGGCAATAAAAGTGTGACAGAAGCAAAAGGGAAAAGACATTATCATAATGAGGCTTTTGTAGCTTGTTGGCTGTTTACAAGCAAGACAAAAAAAGGGGGAAGGAGAAAGGGGAACTTAACCTGTTTACTAAAAGATCCAGTTAGTGAAAGAGGAGAGGAAGAAAAAACCTACATTCCTTACCTCATTTAAGCCAAAAGGAATGACATAGATATAAAGTATGACATCTTGATTATCTATTTTTAGATAATTTGTTGGACAAGGAAGAAACCTAAGCAAATAGGGTTTGAAATGTCTGCCATTTGTGCTAAGGCACAGTCCTGTAATATATAGACTTGATTACAATGCCTGCATGCCAAGACAAACAAAATAGTGTCACTGGGAAGAAATACTGTATTCCCAACCAGAAATACTTGTGAAAAGCTGCTTGTAACCCTGGTAATGAAAGACTGAGTGTCATGCCATGTAAAGGGAAAAGAACTGTCTGTACTTTACTAACCAAATCTTCTCTGTTTCATTTATTCCTCACACTCCTGTTTGTGGAGGTTTTTTTGTTGTTGTTTTTTGTTTTGGTATCTCAGCAATCACAGAGTGACAATCAAACTTAGAAATAGAATAGGAACTGTAAAACCTTGTAAAAGGTAGTACTAGAGGAACAAACCAACAAAGGGAGAAACTGTCCAAGTTTGTGCTCTGTTACCGTCATGAATTTGCAGTGGAAGTGATTTTTTTTCTCTCCTCTGTGCATGTATGGAGGGAGGTAGCAGGTCTAGCAGGGTCAGGCCTAAATCAGCAGCACTAGTGAGATGTAGCACTAGATCTGTCTCCTTCCCAAAACTTAGTGGGCCACTGATTTTCAGATTCCTGCTCTTCCCCACTGTGGCCTCTGTGTGCCCCGCCCCCCCCCCC